ATAACTGCTATACAAATAGTTATTATTATTACCTCTGCCAAGGAAGTTTTCTTGTGTGTTGCTTGTTTGTTACCAGGATTACGCAAAAATTACCCAACTCGTTTCTATGAAATTTTTGTAGAAGGGTGCGACATGAGCAAAGAATGGATTAAATTTATGTAAGATCTGGAATCAAGGGTGGTTATAGGAAACCTTTTCACTTTCAGTAACAATGTGAAATATCTGGGAACTGAAGAGAGCCATGTTTTTATTACATGGAACCCCAACCGTTCATCTACATGTCTGTATGACTCTCTACATTGTTATGGAGATCCCTGGAAGCTGGTGAAAGGAGGGCTCAGGCAGCAGCCGATGTCTTATGCAGAAGATTTTAATGTGAACCTGATGCATCAAGGAGACCAGAAGGTGAAACAATATACAAATGCTAACAGAGTAACATCAGCAGTAATCACCCCCAAGTCTGTAGAGGTTTCACACAGCATCCCCATATAACGTCCTCTACTTGCATCACCCATTCTAACAGCACATCAATGAATGGCTAGAATTGCTGTAACTCTGTTTACATGTAGGTTTTCGATAGTTAAGCCTAAAGAATTCATAATTAAATCACATTGTGTCCTTACATCTTGCCACTGTTGAAATAAGCAAAACAGTTAAGAGTTGGTGAGAGTTTTCATTTTGTCCTAATTCCACACATTTATTCAGGTTTAATTCTCACATGTCTAAAAATCTAGGGACTTGTATAACTGTTTATAAAGATGTGTATGTAAATGCACTGCTCCAAAAAATTAAGGGAGCACTTAAATCTCACATCAGATCTTGATGAACAAATTATTTAAGCTGAAAATCTTTACTAATGTACATTGTACAATTTGTTGAGAACAAATTACGTCGCAACGTCAATGGAAACCAAAATCATCAACTCAATGAGGGCTGGATTCAAAATCACATCAGAATCAAAGTTAAAAATTTGACATCACTGGCTGATTCAACATGCATGAATTTCAGCAAGGCAACTCATAATGTGACTCGGTAGTGTGTATGTCCCACATGTGCCTGTATTCACACCCGACAACATCTGTTCTGACAATCCCACTGAGGATTTCATCCCAGTACCTAACAGCAGTCAGGGCACGGTGGCTATGACATGGAGGTCTGTGCGACCCTCCAAGGATATGCCCATCGAGACCGTCACTAACCCGCTGCCAAACAGGTCATTCTGGATGATGTTACAGGCAGCATTACGTTCACCACAGCTTCCCCAGACTGTTTCACGCCTGTTACGTGTGCTCAGTGTGGACCTGCTAATTGCTCTTGCAAATGCCAATCAAGCTGCATGGTGCTTAGCTGTGAGCACAGGTGTAGCCTCTTCGAGGTCATCTTGTAGGGCTCTGGCAGTGCTCCTCCGCTACCGGTCATGCTTCTGGTTTGATGACCTTCTACAGCCATGTTCAGCTCTCATGTAATGGGAAACTCTGCAAACCTTCTTGCGACTGCACGTGCCATCGTGGAGAAGCTGGAATACCAGTGCAACTTGATTGGGCTGCAGGTGCTGCCTCATGCGTACTGCCTCATGCTACCAGTAGTGACAAGGAAACTAGCAGAACACAAAACTAGAGAAGAGTCAGTCAGGAAGGAGGAAATAACAATTATCTGTGGCCACCACATGCAAAACCATTCTCTTTTATGGGGTTGCTTTTGCATCTCCATTGCACCTGTTGTCACTTTCATTTGCACCAAAACAAATTAATGGATAGATTGATATCCCTGAAGTGTAACTCACTTGGTCTTACAAGTGTTCCCTTCATTTTTTTGAGCAGTGTATGTAGCTGTGTACTGTATATGTGTGTGTGTATATATATAAGCACTGAAAGAAGTAGTTTACTTGTAGGTCCTTTGCTGAAAAACTTAGCTACCAATACAACAATGTAAAAAATATTGAACTACAGGGGAAAGCCCTGCTTTAAAAATCTTACTTAAGTAAATGTACAGAAGTTATATCAGAGATGTATCATTTTAAACTCAATAATTAGACAATTGATACTGACATTTCTTAAAAGACATAAAAATATGGTAGTTTGTAAAGGACGATTATGTTAAATTTGGCAGTGGTTGTCAACTGGAAGTCTGTGGACCCTGGAGGTCCATGGCACACTCCCAGGTTGTCCATGAAGAAGTTAACTGATTGATCCATTTGTATTAGGCAACTTGGTATATGGGTATTCTCTGTTGACATGATAAAAATACTTTTAATGCATATTTAATATCTCAACATTTTTCTTGTGTGAATCTTTCACATAGAAATGTAAAAAAATATGTGGGGTGGGGGGCTCCTTGACTGAGAAAAAAATTGAGAACCTGTGGTTCAGTGGTGCCTCTTGGGGCCAGGCTTCCCTCAAAGGGCCACAGGATGAATCTGGGGGATCCTGATATGAATAATTAGATCTGATAATTTATTTTCATAGACAGACTTTGATTGAAATGTTGATAGTTTTAACAGTTTGGAAGTTATTTAGATAATACCACATTGGAAGTGAAAGTGTTTAAAACTCCAGCAGTTTATCCATACAAATGTCAATACAATATTTAACCAGCTGATCAAATTTAATGCAAATTCTTCAGTCTGAAGCAACCACACCTCTTTGTCAGAGTACATAATGATGTTAAAAGTCCTTTTGCTGATTCCAGGCTGTACACAATGTCACAAAGGCTCCAGCCATGGCTTCATATCGTTTCCCTCTCTCCCTCTGTAACAGCTATGTGTTTACGCCCTCATCCACTGACGTTCACAGATGATGTTTCATTGGTTATTTGCAAGTTGTTCAAGGTAAAGGCAGAGAGGGAGGAGGAGAAGGTGGAGGAGGAGGGTTTCAGGAGCGCAGCATGCACTTCACTTCAGTGCGCAAGAACGCACGGAGTCAGTAAAGGGACTCTCAGAAGCCAACCGGATTATCACTAGATTTTCTCTCTTTTACCAAACAGCGTTGCATCGATCATCGAAGACGTTTTTACTAAACGAAATAAAATACTTTGACGGATATGTCGGGAAACCTTTTAAAGGTTATGTTCCTCCTGTTCTCCATGTTTCTGGAGCCCGTGAGTATATTCAAACACTTGTTTCCTCCGGACTGCTCCTTGTCACATTCTTTATCAGTTTCTTGCCTAACTTTGGCCATGAAAGGTTAACACAGATTATTCTACTGGAGAGTTTTCTGTAAGTGGAAGTTGATGCGCACGCCGGTGCTCCCCAACCCTAGTTTTGGATACGGTGCGCACCCGAGTGGATCTCGATGTAGTCACTGGCCAACATAAAGTCGATTTTTCTTTGTGTGGTGACAAATCATAGCAAACTATCTCAAGGCACTTTACATAGTGAGGTCGAAACCTTACAACATTATTGAGAAACCCAACAGTTCCCACAATGAGCGAACTCATGGTGACTGTGGAGATAAAAACTTCCTTTAACTGGAAGAAACCTCCCACAGAACCAAACTCAATGAGAGCTGCCTGCTGCCTCGATAGGTGGGGGTGAGCAAAGAGAAGCTGGGAAGAGAGGAGAGAGAGACCATAGGAATATGTGGATGGGCAGGGGGAGCAGAAACCCCACCCCTCTTTTTTATTTTTTAAAGTTTAAAGTGCCAACACTTCCTACAACATCATCACTGTTTTCTCACATGTTCACTATCTTCTCTCCAGGTTTAGCATCTTTCTTGTGTGTGTCTCCTCAGGCACCACAGACAAAGCCAACAGCTTCTTAATGACATTTTACCCCAAACAGAACATTGTGATTGTTCCTCAGTGACAGTCATGTGTTTTATGTCCTCGCTGATCTCTTTTCACGACTTAAGGTTCATGTGAATGGCCATCGCTGAAACCACTAAAGGTCTGCTTGTCTCCCAACACGGACACCATGGCAACGTACTCCTTTGTCTGTCTCTGTACTCTATGGTCTCTACTGTCTTTATCCATAAACTGTCTCCTGTAGAGAAGCATTTATGATTCATGCTGGAATTCAAGGGGAGGTCAGATCCCTGTTAGAATAGAAGCCTGGCTTTTATATGTGCATTTGCACACACCCATAGACTGCTTCCATACCACCAGTGATAAAATAAATCAATTGAGGGAAATGACGGGAAGTGTTGTGCGGGGTGAGGAAGATAAAAGTAATGATGATCATCATGAAAATGGAGTGCAGGAAGTTTTTCAGCTTGCACCGCTGAAGGCACCACTGATCCATCACTGACAGCATGTTCTCCAGTCACATAGTCCAAAGAAACACAGGGCATGTGACGTTGCCTGAGGAGGGAGATAAATCATAATTTAAAAGGGGTAGTCACCTTGTGTGGCGGGGGAGAGAGGCAGGAGTCATTTTGTGGTTAACAATAGCCACATGCTACTAGTCTGATTAATGCCCACAGAGAGAGCGACTCATCCACCTAAGTAACAGCAATAAATCTTGTGGTCCTGCAGAGGGTCTCTATATTCTCTGGTGATAAACCCTCATGGATTCAGCTTCATATGGAACCAATTCATGCCTGAGGATTCCCTACAATTTCAAAATATGTAAATCTACCAGATATGACTGTTGAATCACCGGCAAGAGATTGATTTTGTGTCTGCCTTGTGTGCCGGTTGGAGAGATTAATGGTCGGTCTGACCAATTAATCTGGGGCGGACCTTAGGGGTGATGATAGCTGTGCTCACCTATATGCGTAAAGCACTTTTCAAGCAGTACAACTCTTTGACTATCAGACAAATGAAGTGTGGACTCCGAGATGCACAGAAAACATGTTTAAATTTTCTCTCCACAGGTGTTTTCAGTGCAGAATCAGATGTGTGACATAATGAGGGAGATAGACAAAGAGAGAGACGCATGTGAGGCTCAAATTGAGAACAGAACAACAGGTATGTGGGTTTTGTGTGCGTGTCTTGGCTGCACATTCTGTCTCATCGAAATTGGCTAATTTCACCAATGGTTTAGGAATGAAGTGGCACAACAAGCTCTAAAGACAACAGAAGCTGTTCAAACCTCCCCCCTGGCTTCACATTACACTGAGCATGGTTGAACAGTGTTTTTCACCTAATGCCAGCCACTTGTTGTCACATGTGCTCACGTTAAGTTTCAAAGTGACACACTTCATCATTCATTGACACTAAATGCTTGATCAACACAGCAGTGGGTGTGTGACAATGAAACTCAGCTGATTTGTCTTTTCAATTAATTGCAAATGAAATTATGGTGAGATAACAATTTATTGATCCTATGATCCAACCAGCCACAACCTCAGAATGAAGTAGACAGGAGAATAGAAAAGGCAATAGAATATATAAAACATTAAATAAAAA